ATGCAGGCATAAACATCAGAATACAAGAGCTGGAAGAATTTCAGACAACGAAGATACAATAAAGGAAACAGATTCATCTGTCAAAGAAAATGTTAAATCTAACAAATGCTTAACACAAAATATCCAGGAAATATGGGACATAATGAAAAGACCAAACCTAAGAATAATAGAGAGAGAAGAAGAAGAAATCCAGCTCAAAGGCACAGAAAATATATTCAACAAAATTACAAAAGAAAACTTCCCCAACCTAAAGAAGGATATGCCTATGAAGGTACACGAAGCTTACAGAACACCAAACAGACTATACCAAGAAAAAAGTCCTGTCGTCACATAATAATCAAAACACTGAACATACAGAATAAAGAAAGAATATTACGAGCTACAAAGAAAAAAGGCCAAGTACCATATAAAGGTAGACCTATTAGAATTATACCTACTTCTCAATGGAAACAACGAAAGCCAGAGGTCCTAGTCAAAAGTTATGCAGTCACTAAGAGACCATGGATGCAAACACAGACTACTATATACCCAGTAAAACTTTCAATTACTAGAGATGGAGAAAATAGGATATTCCATGACAGAACCAGATTTAAATAATACTTAGCACAAATCCAGCCCTACATACAGAAAGTAGTAGAAGGAAACCTCCAACCCAAGGAAGTCAGCTACACCCACAAAAACACAGACAATAGGTGATCTCACAGCAGCAAACACCAAAGAAGGGAAAAATACACACAATAACATCACCAACAACAAAAACTAAAACGACAGGAACTAGCAATCACTGGTCACTAATATCTGTTAATATAATGGACTCAACTCACCCATAAAAACACACAGGCTGAGCCAGGCGATGGTGGCTCATGCCTTTAATCCCAGCACTCGGGAGGCAGAGGCAGGTGGATCTCTGTGAGTTCGAGACCAGCTTGGTCTACAGAGCTAGTTCCAGGACAGGCTCCAAAGCCACAAAGAAACCCTGTCTCAAAAAAACAAAACAAAACAAAACAAAACAAAAAAAAAACACACAGGCTGTTGGGTGGTGGTGGCACACACCTTTAATTCCAGCACTCAGGAGGCAGAAGCAGGCTCATCTTGTGAGTTCAAAGCCAGCCTGGTCTACAAGAGCTAGTTCCAGGACAGGCTCCAAAGCTACAGAGAAACCCGGTCTCGAACCCCCTCCCCCAAGAGAAGACATAGGCTAACAGATTGGATATAAAAACAGAATCCATCCTTCTGCTGCATACAAGAAACACACCTCAACCTCAAAGACAAACATCACCTCAGAGTAAAGGGTTGGGAAAAAATTTTTCCAATCAAATGCACCTAAGGAACAAGCTGGGGTAGCTATCCTAATATCTAACAAAATAGACGTCAAACTAAGATCAATAAAAAGAGACAAAGAAGGACATTTCATATCCATCACAGGAACAATCCATGAAGTGGAAATATCAATACTGAATGTCTATGATCCAATACAAGGGCACCCTCATATGTAAAAGGGGCACTACTAAAGCACACATTGAGCCCCACACACTAATAGTGGGAGACTTCAACACCCCACTCTCACCACTGGACAGGTCTGCCAGAGAAACTTAACAGAGAAATAAGAGAATTAACAGATGTTATGACTCAAATGAACTTAACAGACATCTATAGAACATTCCATCCAAACATAAAGAGCATACCTTCTTTTCAGCACCTCATGGAACCTTCTTAAAAACTGACCACATACTCGGTAACAAAAATCTTATAATGTTTCCATGTTGGTATCTGGCCTCACCAAAAAAGCAGAAGCAAGTGTTGAATGAACTATTATTTCCTCTTATTTAAGTCATCCACCCTACTCTTGCTGCTAAAAGCTAATGAGAAGATCAGTAAATCTGAGCTCTTTCAGTCTTGAGTCTACAGTCTGTCTGCTCTCAGGCTGATGAAGCAGTGGTTGTACTGCAAGCCCACAGAGCTACAGAGGCTGCCCAGGAGACATCAACAGCACCACTGTTTATGGTAACAGGTGTTCCAGCTGTTTAAAATTGATAAGAGTTCGAGACCAGCCTGGTCTACAAGAGCTAGTTCCAGGACAGGCTCCAAAACCACAGAGAAACCCTGTCTCGAAAAACCAAAAAAAAAAAAAAAAATTGATAAGAAACCAGGAAAAGACACTTGGGCTTCACTCAAGCTGGAGAGATGACTCAGTGGTTAGAGCACTGGCTGCTCTTCCAGAGGACCCAGGTTCAAATTCCAGCACCCACGTGGCAGCTCAGAACCATCTGTAACTGCATTTCCAGGGAAACTGAAGGCCTTTTCTGGGCCCCACAGGCACCAGGCATGAGTGTGGTACACAGACATACATGCAGGGAAAATAGCCACACTTACATCAACTTTTTTATAAAATTAAAAAATATATACCCAGACACAGAAAAATTTAAATGCTATGAAAAAAAAAACACTCAAAAATGTAAAATAGGAGGAAACGTTGAGCCTTTTATGCCCAGGAAACACCAGTTTTACAAAACAATCTGAGTACTAGCTTATTTGATTTAAAACAAACCAAACCAAAACCAGACCAAAACAACAATAAAACCAGGAAAATTTAAAAGCAAATTAATGTTTATTAACTTTGAGTAAAATAATTTGCATGAAGCACAAAAAATTAAAACATTGTTTTTAATTTTGTGTTTGAAGTAAACTGATAACTTATCAAGAAATTATAATTTGGGTTATAAAACTCTTGCTTTAAAAAAACTGGGAGGTTTTTTTGGTTGGTTTTTTTGAGACAGGGTTTCTTGTGTAGCCCTGGTTGTCCTGGAACTCACTATGTAGAGCAGGCTGGCCTCCAACTCAGAGATCTGCTTGCCTCTGCCTCGTGAGTGCTAAGATTAAAGGTGTGCGCCACCATTAATTTTACAATAAGTGTGTGTGTGTGTAACTACAACTTGTGGGAGTTGGTTCTCTCTTTCCACTATGTGGGTCCCAAGAATCAGACTCAGGTTGTAGGGCTTGGTAGCTGTATTAATAGGATTCTGTAGGACAGAATTAATAGGATGAACCTATATAAAATGAATCTATGTTAAAGGGCATTTATTTAAGTGGCTTTTGTGCCGTGGTCCAACTAATCCAACAATGGTTGTCTCCTGACAGAAAAGCCAAGTTTCTGGTGGTCGTTTAGACTGTGAGGCTGGATGTCTCAGGTGGGCTTCAGTCTAAGTAGGTTTTATACCATTGAATTAATGTCTTGGCTGCAGGGTAGATCTTACCAGCAAAAGAAAGGGCAAACAAGCTAAAAGCAAAGTGTTCTTTTACGTGGGCTGTCACCAGGTTTGGCTTAGATTTAGGTGTGTCATCCCACTTCAAACGATCCAATCTCTAGATTTCTGATCCCCTGAAGCCGGAGTTAGAAGCAGTTGTAAGCTGACAGACTTGGGTAACGAGAACCCAACTCTTGTCCTCCAAAACAGCAGCAGCCACTCGGCCATCTCTCAGGACACTGGGCTGTTCTGAGCAGCATGGACCGCAGGTGCATGCTAGTGTTCAGTTTATACTCTCTCTTTAGCCAGAAGCCTGGCTGGCATTAGATCCTCCAGAACCTGTTCGCCTTGCTGGTGATAGAATCAAGCTTGAGAACATACAAGGTCAAAGACCAGCTCACTCTGCCATTCAGCTTCTCCCATCAGCAGGCGGCTGTGGAAGTCACCCTGCTCTTATCCCTAACAGGAAATGTTCTCTTTCCATCACTTCAGAAAGTTCGGTGCTAACCTACTATGCTGAGTCTCTTCACACGTTCCTGGGAGAAAAGAAGCTGGTTTTTTATCGTGAATCTACTCAGTGCCTAGCCCTGAACAAAACACTTCATATGTGAACTTATTAAATCTTCGTTCGTTTTGGATAAGCAAATAGGCTGTGAGCACCGAAGGTTTTTTTTCTCCAGCTTACACACAGTAACTGTAAATGAGGAAACTCAGGTCTGACTAAAATCTGTCTTCTTCCGAAGACAGCATCCTTTGATGTTTGTTCTAACAGAAGCTGGTTGGCATCCTTAATCCTGGGGTTATATCTTTCACCTCCCATCCCAGCTCCAAACACATCTTTTATCTTCCAAGATAAGGGTTGGTTTGTCTTCCGACACGTCTTTCTCTTTTGAAACAATCCTGAACTTAGTTCTCTGCCCACTAACAATAGTTCACTACCCATTCATGCCACCGCACCTTCTCGAAACACGCCGCCTTTGATGCGGTCTGACGCTACCATCTCTTAAGTACGCAGTCGATTTGCAGATCAGAAAGCACTTTCAGACACGCTGCTCTATCTGTCCTCCTCCACAAGCCAATGAGGAGGGCATTTTGCAAGGGGGAGGGGAGGATCATCCCATTTCACGCGAAAGACACCTCTCCAAGGTCACGGAATGAAAAGTGGGAAATTCAGGACCAAAGGCCCAGATTGGACCCTTGGTCCTTGGCTCATCCCGCCACGCCTCACAGGTACTCACGGTCCAGTCACCGCCTCCGCGGCAGCGTTGTCAGCGCTGCAGTCCGCCCGCCCACAGCTCACCACCCTCCCACCGGTACCAGAGCTCACTCCGTCCTGTCGACCCCTCTCCCCGAGACCTCCCCGCCTCGCTGCCACCTCTACTAAGGAGCCCCCTCTGGTCACAAGTGGCCTTCTCAGATCACCACCTCCTCCTGTCAGTCCGCTGGGTTACCTTCTCCAAGGATGCAGGTCTCTGCACAGCCAGGGAACGGGCCAGCGAAAGCACTGTGTTGAAATAAAAGCCTCGGGAGGTGCTGGAGCCAGAGCTGGACCCCGAGCCGCCTCCGCCGCCTCCCTGGGCCCCAGCAGCCGCCATCACAGCGCGCGCCCCGGCGCGGGCGGTTAGGTTCGCAACTCTGGGCCTGTGGCCACCGGGCCTCACAGCGCAGGCGCAGAGGCACGCCGGCTTCCCGGCCACGTGACCGCTGTGTCGCCCGCGCTGGGTGGCGCCAGGCGTGAGGCGGCCCCGGCGCTCAAGACCTGGTCCCTTCGGCCGCTCGGTGCGGTGGTTGGCTCCGGAGGCGGGGCTGCCGGCCAGTCCTGGCGGAAGTGGCGCGCGCGGCTGCCACAGAGAGTCCGCCTGCCGGCGCTGGGCTGTCGACCTCACGCCCGGTCGTCTCTCCTGCTTCCTAGGTCCAGGCCGTCGCGGACACCATGTCCGGCTACCCCAAAAGCTATAATCCTTTCGACGACGACGTGGAAGATGAGGACACCCGGCCGTCGCCGTGGAAGGACGCCCGCGACCCGCCCGACGGGCCCGATGCGCCCATGGACCGTCAGCAGTACCTGCGACAGGAGGTGCTGCGCAGGGCCGAGGCTACGGCCGCCAGCACCAGCAGGTCCTTGTCCCTCATGTATGAATCGGAGAAGGTCGGAGTCGCCTCTTCCGAGGTGAGCCTGGGACAGAACTGAGCTGAACTGGCCAGTCCCTTGCATTATAAAACGCGATAAGGGAATGTTTTGTTGACAATCTTTTGGGATTTTTTTAAGAGGGTGTTTACCTCGGGCAGCTCCCTTACCTATTATTCTGCTTGGTTGATTCCACCTCCCTCCCCCTCTCCTGTCCACCTGTCTAGTTAAAAGGTAAACTCCAAATTATGTTCTGCCTGAGGGTCAGAACTGAGAGTAAAAATGCCAACGTGCAGACCTGTATTAGGGAAATAGTGTCTGTTTTGTTTGTGTACAACTTCTTGGGCAGAAGCCTTAGACTGTAGCTCTCTAGTGACCCAGTTAAGATGTGGACTGTGTGTGCCCCAGGTGCTAGGTGATGCCTGAAGCGCTAGAGCAAAGGAAGCCTTGCGTTCTTCTCACATCCTTGACCACTTTTCACCTCACTCATGGGAATATTTAAGTCCCTTTTGCCAGGACTCCTGCTCAGGAAAGCAGATCTTGAATTGTGTCTAGACCCTTACCTTTATAGATAATGTATTGATATGACAGTCTGTTGTTCCAGTCAGCTCTTCCCATCCATTTAGAAAATTTCAGAAATTAGGAATTTTGCCTTGTCTTTCCTTATGTGTCTGTGTGTATGAACATGTGTGTGGGTGTCTCCTGAAGCCAGAAGAGGGCACCTGGAGATTCCTTGGAGTTTGGAGTTACAGTTGTGAGCTGCCAAATATGGGTGCTGGGAACTGAGCTGGTCCTCCAAAATCTAGTACACTTTTGGAGGGAAGGGGAGTTTTGCTTTGGTGAATAGTCTGTCTATGAAGCCCCAGGCTAGCCTGGAACACAGAATCCTCTGGGGTTACAGGCATGCACTGTTGTGGAATAAGGATTATTTTAAGATACCAGGTTGTCTCCTAAGTCTGCTAATAGAACAGTTGTTTGGGCAGAAAAAAATAAGAAATTACTGATATATCAGCTAAGAATAAACTTAAGTATTTTGCAGTTTTGAAAGGTAATAGTTGAAACCAAGAATTGTCTTCCTTCTCCCTGGCCACAGGGACTTGGGCAGATCTGAGGTGTCTTGATTACTTTCACTTACAGTCCTCTCTGTCATTGCATTGCTGCTGCTTTACCTTCTCCTACCTGTCCCTGTTGTGGTATCCCTGGTTGCCAATGTATCATCTGCCTCTAGGAAGATGATATGTGCGTATGGTTCTTACATCTGTGTACCGAATGCTTAATGTTCCAGTCCAGATCAGCTGGGTGCCTCGGTGAACAAGTCACTTTGTTTTGAGGTTAGGTCTGACCTTGAACTCAAGAACCTCCTGTCTCAGCCTCCAGAGTGCTGAGATCATAGACTTGCGCCAGATGCCAGATGCCCACAGTGAACACATAGATCCTCTGGAAGAGCAGGACACACCGTGACCTGCTGAGCCATCTCCAGCACCAAAAGAGAACCTTTCTCAATAGTGTTCAATAGTGTGCATCATTCTGTCATCCTGGCTATCCTGGAACCTGTGTAGAATGACTCAGTCAGAGATGTATCTGACTGTTCCTGGGGGCGCTGAGGTTCAAGGTGTGCCAGCACACCTAGCATTTTTATTCTTTTTAACTTAAAAGTGAGATATTCTTTACATATTGCCCTGTATATTATTTAGTAGTACTGAAGGCTATTTCATAGTTAAATACAATGAGGATTTGGAGGGGGGGAGGCAGGCTAATGACCATATTGTATTCTACTAAATAGATGCCTTTTGTATACAACCATTCTCCTAATAGAGAACAGTATAGTACCTGCTTCCTACATGGACATCGTGTTTGTATACCTTTCACTACCTTGGCCAAAGTCATTCACCCTCCCAGGACACTCTGCCTCTCCTGTCGCAGTATGGCATACTACAATGATCTTTTTTCGGAGCCTGGTGTTTCAGTTCAGCAGAGCTCCGCAACAAACCTACTGTTGAAATGGGGGCTGTGTCGACCCCGGTGGGCGAGGGCAGTTGACACATGATGTGCTCAGCCACCTTGGTTAGCACATGTTCCTCAGGAGCCCAATCATTGAAAATCTTTCCAGTCCTTGTCACTGAAGCCACACTGGGCATTCGACTCAGAGAGGTGGGAGAGACAGACAGACAGCATCCCTCTTTTTTTTTTTTTTTTTTTGGTTTTTCGAGACAGGGTTTCTCCGTAGTTTTTGGTTCCTGTCCTGGAATTAGCTCTTGTAGACCAAGCTGGTCTCAAACTCAGAGATCCGCCTGCCTCTGCCTCCCGAGTGCTGGGATTAAAGGCATGCGCCACCACTGCCCGGCGACAGCATCCCTGTTAAGCTGGAGCAGTAGCAAGAAAAAAATCTTGAGATTTTCCCCAGTTAGGGTCAATCCATTACCAAAGGTGTACTCTTGTTTTCTAGAAAACTAGTGGGGAGCAGTCATTCCCAGTGAGGGCGTCCCGGCTCCTCCAGAGTCTTTCATGGGCATGCTGATGAAGCCTGTTTCTCAGCAAAGACTGGTAAGGACAGAAAGACAGCTGCTAGATCAATTCCTCTCCAGTCCTCAGGGATTTTTTTTTTAATGTACCCTAATAACCAATATGTGTTTCTGAATCTACTCCATGCCGAGGAAATCTCCAGCACATACAGAACCCAGCAAGTTCCATGTTTGCTCAGCCATACCCACTAGAACCTGTTAGTGTGGGTGTTTATTACCTTGGGAGATGAGAGAAATAATGAAGAAAGTTTCTTTCTTATTTTCCTTTCTGAAATAGAGTTTTATATTGCCCAGGCTAGCCTCAAACTTGCCGATCCTCTTGAGTTCACTTCCAGAGTGCTGGGAGTGCATGCCTGTGCCATCGCACCCAGTTTTTCCCCAGTCTCGGGGGATAAATTCCAGGTTTCTGGATTCACTGCCTTGACCCCAGATTGACAGTCATATACTTATCAGTTAATAGCTAAGTTTAATTTCAAACTCATTATCAGGCCCACCTGATAATGCTTTAAATGTAGATTGTGGCATGAACAAGTTGTTACTGCTGCCCTTGGGAGGCCTCAACATCATTTGCTATGTGTTTCCTACTGGGTTTTGATGGGTCCCACCCACACCCTTCTGTGCTCACCACACAGTTCCACTTCCCCTCAGTTACTCCAGCTGCCTAGACTAGTGGCCCTCTTCAACTCAGCATTTACCCCACCCCACCCTTGAGACTCTCTGATACACTCCTTAAACCAGGCCAGGAATCTTTACTGGGGTTTGGTTCACTGTGATAAAGAAACAACCATGTTGTAATGACCTTTGTATTGTTTTTCCCATGAAACAGCTCAGTGAAGCAAGGATGTGCCTGCTCCTCAGTTCTCAGCACCACAGGGTGGCTAGAGAGTTGGGCTGAACTTGCCCTTACCCTGCGTGGGTTATGTGAGCCTTCAGGGTGGAGTTCGGATTGTTAAGTCCCCACCTGATCAGTAGCACTGGAAGCACCCTTGGCAGACATGAGTTGTCATGAGAAAGTCCCCCAGACTGTTCCATGCTCAGCCAGCAAAAGCCTCTGATCCCCTGAGCCCTCACAGTACCCTGGAACATAGCCCGAGTGTGTCTCACATCAGGCTGTCTATGCTCTAGCACGGGCTTTCTCTCCCTGACCTCTGCTTCTTCTTGCTCTCAGGAGTCACTCACAGAAAAGAGGAAAGGAGGAACCTTGTCTGTACTTTCTTGGCATTGCAAGAATATCCCCTCTTTTTTTTCCCTGTTTGAGTTTAGAAAACTCTTGAGGCTTAAAGAAGTTGGGGGATCAACTGTAATCATCTCATAGTCACATGGAAAGCATTTCCTTGTCCTTTGTTTTTAGACAGGGTCTCATGGAGCTCGACTGGCCTCCCCCTCTATGGTCCTGAGGATGGCTCTGGACTCCTGATTCTCTGCTGTCTCTTCCCAAGAGCTAGGATTACAGGCATGTCCCACCAGCCCAGTTTACAGAGTGCTGGGGATTGAGATCCTAACATCCTGTGTGCTGGGCAAGCACCCTTACCTGCTGAGCCACATTCCTTGTCCAGGAGTCAGGAGTTCCCCCACACACACTCCCCCAGCCACCCTGGGCCAGTACTGGCCTCATTCTCACAGAGGCAGATGGAAAAGTCAGCACAGTTCACTTCTGAGCTATGGGAGCACACCTCCAAATCCACAGCATTCGAGGTCTATCTTCAGCATGGCTGGAGTATAGTCTTAGCCAGCCCATCCTCACAGGAAATGCTGAGGAAGTACTACCAGCCCCCGCCCCCACCTCATGCCCCGCCACACCCCTTCCTCCCTAGTTGGTCCTAGGTCAGAGCGCATTAGATCCAGTCATTTCTTATTCCTTTTAGTGAGGAGTCTGACCAAAGAAACTCTTTGCTTTGCTGGTTTCATGCTCTCCAGTGAACAACAGGTTCTGGTACATAGACACTTCCAGAAATAACCCTCTCTCCTCTGGCCTTCTGCCTCTCAGAGGAAAAGCCATCTTTACTTAATTCTCTATGTTCTCATTGTAATGCCTATGTCAGGTGTCTGCTTTCCTCTGCAGCTGAGAAGCTGTGTCGCTTGTGAAATGAGATCTCCCTGAAGTCCTGGGAAAAGTTGTCAGGCTCTTTTGCTTCCCCCGAAGCTTTCTTAGTGGAAAAGAGAAGTAGCTTTGAGAAAATCCTGTCATGATAGGAAGAACTGACTGCTAGAATCCCCAAAGGCCTCTGGCCTACCAGAGCTTCGCCCATTTCAGCCCTCAGTGTCAACTGTTGTCCTGTCCAGTCATCCAGAACTGGCTGTAGCTCAGGGTTGAGCACTGTATGTTACAGTCATCCAGAATTGTGGCTGAAGTTCAGGGTTGAGCACTGTATGTTACAGTCATCCAGAACTGGCTGTAGCTCAGGGTTGAGCACTGTATGTTACAGTCATCCAGAATTGTGGCTGAAGTTCAGGGTTGAGCACTGTATGTTACAGTCATCCAGAGCTGTGGCTGTAGCTCGGGGTTGAGCACTGTATGTT